TTCTTCCCTGCCTGTGGCAGGGGGTCAGGCTAGATGATCTGCTCAGGTCCCTCCTGACCCTAGCTACTATGAAACTATGGTGCTTCCTCCCAAGGTGGCACTTGCCCACAGGCACCCGACTCGGGTAGTCCTGGGAGGCACCACAGCCATGGAGGGAAGCACCAGGCCCCCGTGCAGCTCAGGCAGGCAGGAAGGCTCCTGGGTGGGGAGGGGAATAAAAAGATCAGGCTCACCACTTTTTTTGGGTGGACCCTGCTTTCCCAGGTTGCTGCCAGGCTGCCTGCAGGGCTTCCTGCAGAGCCTTGCTCCTCAGATGAGTTTTAGTTTGCTGTGCCCCAAGTCATTTAAGGCACATTACGCTGCCGAATTTCCTACAGCGGCTGGAATTAATGCGCCATATGTTGCCAAGGCGTGCAAACCCCGACACCATTAAAGCGGCACAAAAGCATTTAGCCCACTTTAAAGTGTTGTGCACACTCACCCCTCATTTCGTCTGCATGTGGCCCTTGTCTTTTATTTTCTAGAGGGGAAGTCATGTGTTGATATTAAATGGTATACACAAGAAAAAGCATTAAAAGAATGGGATTAAGGTAGCAATGCCACACACTTGCAAGACGGAGTAAAGGCTGCCTGTGCAGCCTTAGTTCAGCCCCTTGCATGTCTATATTATGACCCAGTCTTTAATTACATCATCACATCCTCTTTTTACCCATAGGATCCCTGCCTTGACTGGACAGAGGCCCAAGCTGCTGCAGCCAGACTGCTACTAGTCACCCTGCTGGCTCACACAGAGCCGGTTTGGGTATCTCAGCCCACCACTCCAGCCTGCAGTGCAGATAGTTTTCCACTTTATTATGTGCACAACACCTGGCGTGCATGAGAGCAGGTGTGGATCTGCAGAGGGAACGTCTACATTTGCACGTGCCAGCTGGGCAGATTGGCTCTCCCAGTTCCCTGACGGCACTACTGATATGAGGTATGTCCCCACAACTTGTTGGGCATGTATAATTTGAGGCTGGCCAAAACAGCTCTGAAGCACCACCTTGCAAAGCCTCCTCTGAACCATGCTGCTTGAACACACAGCCTCATGTTACCCAGATTCAGCAGGATAAAGCAGAGGGCAATGTGCTTTCTTCTGAAGGCACCTTTAACCAGAGGGAATGCATTTCCCTTATGTTCTTGTGCTGCCCAAAGTGAGACAAATAACCATGGACGCATCTCCATTGTAAATCCCTGTCTCTGAGCCATAATAGCATTTTCATGAGTCAGCTCCCACAGGGCATCCACTGCTGCTCTTGGAGATTGTTTCAGACTCTGCCGTGTCTCAGCTGAGTGGGAAGTGGCTCTCTCCCCATTTGCCAGGCTTGCTTCAGAGGCCAGGGTCTTTCTCCATTCTGAAAATGGTTCAGAAATGATATGAAAAACAGAAATGATATTCTACCCTTCAGTGATCAAGCTAGAAAAGCAGATGTGGCTTTGCTGAGGGCTGGTTAAAGATTGCAAAAACAGCCTTTGCAAAGATTAACTTGAACTGGGAATGGCTTTGGGGTCTGTATGCCCTTTTGCAAATGTGTGCTGAAAGATCTAGGTGAAGGTGGGTGTTCTTCACATCCTTCTTTGCATTGCATTTGTTATCCACTGCAGACCAGGATGTGACCCTCTCTACTTACAACAGTGAGGAATTATGCCATTAGTCCCATTGATTTCATGGGAGCACCACGGGTGCTTAATGCCTCATGATTAAAGAGGTAGTTAGGGTTTTAGTCTGAAGTCAGGGGAAGGCAGGACAGAGGAGAGAGTGGCACCTTGCAGACTAATGACCGCGAGGAGGAAGTTCACTCTCTGGCTCTCCTTGTTCTTCTCTTGCTCAAAAATTCTCCCTGATCCAATCAGAGACCGATAGAGGAGACAACTCATGCACCGTGAGTAAGGATCCCTGACCAGCCACAGCAATCAGTTTGCAGAGAGTTCCCTGCCCTGAACTCATGTTTTTCTTAACTACGAACGAGGCAGAAAGGAGGTAGAATCGTAATAGGCTTCCCTTCCCCAGCACGGGCACCGAATCCCGAGCAATAATGCTCATTCTCAGTGCCAAGGAGCATCAAAAACGTCTTCCACGTGGAGCAGTCCATCAATATGAGGATGACAGTCTTCTAGTAAACAGGGAAGTCATCAGTGCATCTGTAGATGACTGAGGAGGCCAATCCAAGATCTGCAAGTTCAACTGCAGCCGTGGCTAACGGTTCTGGGAGGAAAGAGTAGATCCTGGTGATGTTGCATGGATCCTGGCAGTGTTTGGTCACACATCTTTCCCTGTGTCTCTCTCACCTATCTGCCTCCCTAATGAGGCGGGTTTGCTCAAAATGCTCCATGCCTTATGATATGCGATGTTAGACAATGTTATTATACACAATGCTATAAATATAATAAATGCAATACTCACAGCAATACATGGGAGACGCAGGCACCAAATCGTCTCTATGGGGACCATGATATACAACAAAGCATGGATCATTTTGAGCAAACTTGCCTCACTATGGAGGCCGACAGACGAGAGAGACGGTCTTCCAGTTAGATAAAACGAGAACATACAGAAGGACCAGGGGAGGTCATACACTGTAGGCAATTACAATGCACTTTCAGGCTTTGAGCTCAATGTGACACAACACCATTTCCCTGTGGTTCTTTGCATCATGATCACTGTTGGTTACACAGGAATGGAAAGTCAACCCTGGCATCCTGGGTGTCTTGACAAATGTGTCCTGCTTTCCGCCTGCAAGTTCTGAATAAAGGCTGGTTCATTATGCAAATGTCTTGGCGCAGCAAGGGTGATCACGTAAATCCCCTGTTTTTCACTCTGATGCAGCTTTAAAACTGCAGTCGTGACACTTGACACGCTCCTCGATTAGGATGGGGGCAGGGAAGTTACAAGTATTTGCAGGTTAGCTGCTGATGTGGAAAACCCCCCACCAAGCATTTCATGTTGGACCTGCTTAGCTTTTGTCCTTTTAAGCATCATGCACAGCCATGCATGCACAGGTTGCACACACACAGGCACACACCCCACCACCGATGAAACTTGGAGAGGCACTCTAATGTACCGGAGAAGGCTGCCAGTCATCGTTTAAGAGCAATAAGAGCGATTAACATAAAAATCCTGATGAAATATCATCTAGCAGGTAAGACGATGTTTCCCTTAAAGTTTCAGCAAAGTGGCATCTGCAAACACACACGCACACACACACATATAACCTAAGGGGCAGAAAACAGGACAAGCTCACACGTTCCTGCCAACGTAATCTCAATGGCATTTCACCAATGTCATTTTTCCGAATACTCAAACTGTATGTATGAAGAGTGACTGCAATTTCTTAGCTACGAGGGAGTGTTTTTTTCCCTGCAGAGTCATTCTTTAATTGTGTTGCTCTTTAAACTTCTGTGCTGCATTATAACGTATTAAAAACTTTTTGTTAAGTGAAGGTCACTGGTTTCAAAAGGGAAAGGCTTTGTTCTCAGCAGTATAAATAATTCTTTTCAGGTGCAGCGCACAGAACGTGTAGGGCAAGTTCCCATAGATCACAGCTGCCTATTCAGGCTTCCTTCACTTTTTTGATAGTCAGTGAGAACATCCATAGGAATCTTATCTGGTAACTGATTCACTGAATGTTGAATGAATTCAGTTGTGTCCCGGCCGCATATAATAACTGCAGAGGCATTCACTGCCTGGTTTGCTGGTTTTCTGTATGGGAACGTGAAGCAAACCCGTAAATGAAGATAAACTTGTGTCCTTTTGGAGGGATGAAGGGCGCTGCAATTTGATATCTGCTCCGCGTACCTGCAGGATTCAAGCTATGGAACAGAAAGCATTAGG